AGTGGGATAATATAATAAAATGCTGAGCAGTATGACTGAGCCATCACAGGCTTTCAATCACACACAAAAAATGTGCCCTATACTTATAATTTCTCTCATACCATTTCTTCTTTTACTCTTTCTTACCCTCCTTGTATGCTCCAGCTAACAATCAAGAATTCTTTTTTCTTGCAAGGAAGCAAGGTGTCAAGATTCATTTTAGCCAAGAGATGCCTTGGTTTTCAAGGCAATCCCTTAGGCCTCCAAAACAGTATGGAAATTGATCTTGGTTGATCACAGAACTTCTCTCTCACACCTCAGAGCTGTGTACTGAGACTGAAGTTCATCTTGATTAGAATTTTAAATTTTTCTTACCCTTCATGATGCTTTGTGCAGTTAGGTACTAAATAAAAATTATTTGGTTGTTCAATAGATGTTACCAAATTCTTAACTCTCAAACTGAGTGTGTTTAAATGGATATATTGATGTGCAGTTGTATACTCTTGCAGAAGGTAAAAATACCCCAAAACAAATACAGTGTTATTACAAAAAAAAAATCAATATTTTAGATCCAAAATAAAAGAAAGTGTTTGACACTTGTGACCTTTCTGTAACAGTGACATAACTTTCCAAAGAAGATCTGTTGAATATTTGTGGTACTTTTAGTTTAGATACAGCCCAAGCCCAACAAGTTTTGAAATATGATTAGAGTATACAAGAAACAAGATAAAGGGCACATGTGTTTTAGTGAAAATGAACAAAAACCATATATAATTCAACTGAAAAGAAGAATTCCAAATTAAGATAGAGCTTGATAAGTTGGAAACAGATGGATTTTTTTTGAACCAGATAGATCTTAACAAAGGTCTTAGAAAATTTAGGTCCTCAATCTAGAAAGAGAGAGTAACTCTGTGAAGATGTAGGGACTATATTTTCAAACAAGGCCCCCAAATCAAATATAAACAGTTCAAGAAACAGCAGTACCTTTAACAAAGAAAATCGAGATCAAAAGATGTAGCAACATCGCTAATAAAAGTAAGTGAGATAACTAGATAAGGCAGTTCTTAGATCAAGCCAGCCATCTGTGCAAAGATATTTCTTTTTTTATAGTAGCTTACAGTAGTTTGAAGGTGGCATCAAACGTGTCCCTTAGGATATACCCAAATGACTGTGACACAGGTTACTCCAGAGGCACCTGCACACCCATGTTTATTGCGGCACTATTCACAATAGCCAAGTTATGGAAACAGCCAAGATGCCCCACCACCGACGAATGGATTAAGAAAATGTGGTATCTATACACAATGGAATTTTATGCAGCCATGAAAAAGAATGAAATGTTATCATTCACTGGTAAATGGATGGAATTGGAGAACATCATTCTGAGTGAGGTTAGCCTGGCCTAAAAGACCAAAAATCGTATGTTCTCCCTCATATGTGGACATTAGATCAAGGGCAAACACAACAAGGGGATTGGACTTTGAGCACATGATAAAAGTGAGAGCACACAAGGGAGGGGTGAGGATAGGTAAGACACCTAGCTAGCATTTGTTGCCCTTAATGCAGAGAAACTAAAGCAGATACCTTAAAAGCAACTGAGGCCAATAGGAAAAGGGGACCAGGAACTAGAGAAAAGGTGAGATCAAAAAGAATTAACCTAGAAGGTAACACACATGCACAGGAAATTAATGTGAGTCAACTCCCTGTATAGCTATCTTTATCTCAACCAGTAAAAACCCTCGTTCCTTCCTATTATTGCTTATACTCTCTCTACAACAAAATTAGAAATAAGGGCAAAATAATTTCTGCTGGGTATTGAGGGAGTAGGGGGGAGAGGGAGGGGGCGGAGTGGGTGGTAAGGGAGGGGGTGGGGGCAGGAGGGAGAAATGACCCAAGCCTTGTATGCACATATGAATGAAAAAAAAAAAAGTGTCCCTTAGGCCTAACTGCATCCCTTAGGACTTCACCAGCTCTTCTTGTGGCCTCAAGCTTCTGATTATGAATAGGAATGTTTCATTCATGGGACCCTCCATTCCCACCATATTTCAAAATTGGTTCCTATAACTACATGGCAAGTAGAGCAGTCATCATATTCAACCTGGCACCTCATTCATGAAGTCAGACAGCTAGACAGGATTGTGGCAATGTATCCACATATGAAATTCTAAGTCTAGCCATGGTGACAATGTGATCAGGAGATAGTAAAAAGAAGGGGACAATTCAAGGATCATCATCTACCCCCAAAACCATTGCATTTCCAGCACTCTTCCAAATCCCGTATTTGTCATATAAACAAGAGACTGTTGTTCCTACTGTTTGCCCTCAAGTAGTTAGTCAGCTGTTGACCTCATAATCTGCACAGCTGTGGCATCCCAATGTGTTGTCATGAAACAGATTGTGATGTCTTAATGGATCACTTTCAGAGGTTACAATCATCAAGTGAGACCAGTACGCTGATTCTTATTAGTTAAATTAAGCCTAATATAGTAGAACCAGCTAATTCACTCTAATGACTGGGAAATTCAATGCAAATAATTGTATTTTATAGAACAAATCCAAGACTTTTTCTTTCTTCTTTTTGATTTTTTTATTTTTGTGGAGGCTATATCCCAAACACAGTTGAATTATCCAATGAAGCATCTTTTTGCAACAGTAAATGGAATGCAACCTCCCTCCACCATATGCATCTTGGTGATGAGTTAGAGTATACAACATACACAATTTAACTGAGGCATTGATTTGCATCTCTAAGTGAATTTGGAAAACTCAGCTATGTGTAGTGGATGTCAAACTCTGCCACAAATTGCCTGTCTGGAAGAACACTGATCCTTCCTAATTATCTAAAATATAGTCTCCTAAATGGATGAAGAAGGTTCTTAGGTCAATGCCTGACCTCAAAAGACACCCTCTTGTGCCTTCATTTACCCACTAATAAAAAGTTTTCACAATATGGTAATCTTAAACTGGCAAAGGCCACTATTGGAAGTAGTGAAGAGGTCTAGTAGAGATGAACCAATGTGGAATGTACACATGTGTGTGGAAGTAGCACTGGGGATATCTCTGTATAGCTGTCTTTATCTCAAACTACAAAAAATGCTATGCTTTTCTTATTATCTCCTATGTTTTCTCTTCAACAAAATCAGAGAATCCTGCCTGGAAGGGAGTGGGGTGGGGAGGTGGCCCAAACAATGTATATACATGTAAGTAAATGTAAAAACAATAAAATTAAATTAAAATTTAAAGAAAAGTTTCCACTATGGCACTAACCTATAAAGCCACATTTCCAAGTGTTCTGACATACTCACACACCTTGAGTAAACCTGTTCTAGCCTAGGGCGCTCATCACTTGCTGCTTCCCTTAATTCAGAATCCTCATGGCAGCAGAGATGAAAGGCAGCCCCTTTGATAGCAGAGTCTTAAGACACCTTCTAAATTGAAGTGGGGTTATAGCTCAGTGGTAGAATGCTTGCCTAGCATGTGCAAGGCCCTAGGTTCAATCACTAGCACCACAAAAGACAACAACTGGATTTTTGAGGATTCTGCAAGTCAAGTTTTTTGAAATTATTATCTTTTGACAATTCAAATAAAGAGATGCCTTTGCCAGTCTGATGTATTTTATAAGCACACAATAAATACTAAATCAAAGAAACAAAATTAAATGAATAAAATAACAGCTAACCTCCAAAATACAATGGGAACCAAGTATGTTTATCAAAGCACTTTGAAAGTAGAAAAAAATCAGGGAATACCTAAATACCCTGCAGTAGTCAATTAGATACTATATATATATATATATATATATATATATATATATCATGTTCATATAGTAGAATAATGAGCAGGCATTTAAATTATCTGTAAGAATTATTTGCTAATAAGGGAAAGGTTAATTACATGAAATTAAATGAAAATCAATGGTGCCAAATTGTGTAAGTGGTATTTCCCGACCTGTCCAAAATAATATAGGTAGAAATAGGAAAATCTGATGAAATGTTTGTAGTGGCTTCTGAGTGATGTAAATATGAACAGTTCATATTTTTTTATCTACTTCTTTTTTAATTTTTCAAATTTCTTACAATGAATTCATATTAATTTAATAATTAGGGCAGGGAAGTTTTTTAAAGCAGTCAGAGTAGTTTCCTTATGACACTTGTTGCAATGGTCTCCAGTCTTCCTAGTTTGGAAATGAGCAACTGGTTTTCCTCCCTGATGCTGCTTCCTGAATCCATCTCTTCTCCTCAGTTCGAAGCAGCTCCAGTGTTCCCATGTCTTAGGCTAAAAATCTGAAATTATCCTTGACTCTTCTTTCACAACCCCCTTCATACCTTCAGTCCACAGGTCAATCCAGTGGGCTCTAGCTTCGAGTATACATCCAGAATGTGACTAGCTTCTCTCCACCTCCTTTGCTCTTCACCATGGTTCGACCACTGTCCTCTCTTGGTGGAATGGTAACAGTTGCCTTTTATTAAAATATTTCTCAGATCAGTCACTCTCCTCAGAGCCCTCCTCTACCTCTTCACCACATAAGAACTCCAAGGCCCTAAATGATTCTCACCCCCCTGTCTCTGTCCCCAATACCTATTTGCTATTTCCACTGGCTCTGCCAGGCCACATGGCTCTCCCTATTATTTCTGTCCTACTTTGAGGTATATACATTGACTTTCCCCCAAATATCTGTCCAGCCAGCCCTTTCAGCTTGTTAAAGTGTTTCCTTAAAGATTTGTCTCAGCAAGGCCTTTTTCTGTTCACTCCATCAACACCTCACCCCCGCACACAACTTCCTAACTTCCTTTGTTGCTTTAATTTTCTCTATTTTAAAACTAATCACACTTTCACATATTATACAAAATGCTAATTTATTTATTATGCTGTTCTCCTCCTACCCCCCCACAACGAAGATAAGCTTTATTAAGTCAGGGATTTTTGTGTATATTTTCATAGCTGAATTTTAACACTTGGAACTGTGACTGCTGCATAGTACATGCAGACGGTAGGTACTGTGCAAGTAACCTACCGTGCATATGACAGGTGACCTGCTACAATTGTATGATAATTGTCCAGGCGGCTTTTCTGAGGTAACTTATCTCTCAATTTATCCACCTAGATGTGACAGACTGTGCCTGCTGACAAGTTTCTTTTGGATTGCTTTTCTCCTTTCATCTAAATCAACAATTCTACCTACTATTAAGTTCAGTGCTTGAATTCCTAATAAATTATTTTGATTCAATTCCTTTTATATTCTAACTCAACCAGTAAAGCACTTAATGTATTCCTGGGACCTCTGGGGAGGGTGGTTAAAATGAAGACAAACATTGTTTTTATAGAACTCACTATCTAGAAAACAGGTATAATTAAACAATGAATTAGAACACAACCCAACAAGGAAAGTAATAACAGGACCTTGTGTGAGAGAGGTTAACTCACCAAAGGGCACAATAAAAATTCAGGATCAAAATGTGCAGTCAAATAGAAGGGGAAAGAACCAAAGCATCATGTTTCTTTATCAGTGTTAAAGATAGGGCAAGTTCTTCATGTGGGAGAGAAGCAGCAAAAGTGTTTTATGTGATTGTTTTAGCAGGAAAAAAGGCAGGAAAAAATGAACAAAGCAAAGAGCTAGAGCTAGATTTAGAAAATCTAGATTTGAATCTACCACTGCAGCTGTTATCATCTACAAGTCTTGAAAACTAATGCTTCACTTCTGAGTCTCTGTTAACTCCATGGTTAAATAAAAAAATGGGGGAGTTAGACTAGCTCTAGAGACGGTTTGTGTACAGGCTTCTCTGAATTCTTAAAAGAGGACTTTCCATATTCATCTAGAATCAATGTAAGCAGAAAGGCCAATGAATATGGTGACTTGGGGAAAATTTTTAAGAACCTGTATAATATTTTGCCAACCAGGGATTTATCTTAAGTAGTTATGGGTTTTGAAAAATCTTCAGACCGTCATCATCTGCTGAATTCTCTGTATTTTTATCTACTGCTCCTTAACCATGCATACATATAACCAAATACAGAATTGATGCCGGGATATGTTTCATTTGCATTTCTTTTATAGCCACAAGCCTTATTACAGAGATCAAATCTTTCCACATTTCCTTATTTTATTTGAAATTATAGTTCTAAATTTAAAAATTCATTATTTAGAATAAAAAAGATAAAATGATTTACACCTGATTTGAAACCAGCATGAGAATACAGAAAGTTAAATTATTTTTCAACAATGTGTTTTCTTTTGTAATGGGAGCATACTGCCAATCGAATAACCTATAGCAGCGACTGTAGGAATTGCATATATGTGTTTCTGATAGCTCCACATTTGACAATTATAGGATTTCTGACCAATTTTCCCAGAAGAACTTGTTTGACTAAGTGAAATTTACCACCTTTCTTTTTCTTTCTATTTTACAGCCTTTGCAACTGGATTGTGACCATTGTGCCATAGTGTCAAACTCTGGTCAGATGGTTGGACAGAAGGTGGGAAATGAAATTGATCAGTCATCTTGCATTTGGCGAATGAACAATGCCCCCACCAGGGGTTATGAAGAAGACGTTGGACGCATGACCATGATCCGAGTAGTGTCCCATACTAGTGTACCTCTTTTGCTGAAAAACCCCGACTATTTTTTCAAGGAAGCAAACACTACTATTTACGTTATTTGGGGCCCTTTCCGCAATATGAGGAAGGATGGCAATGGCATTGTTTACAACATGTTGAAAAAGACGGTTGATGTCTATCCAAATGCCCAAATTTATGTGACCACAGAGAAGCGTATGAGTTACTGTGATGGAATTTTTAAGAAGGAAACTGGGAAAGATAGGTGAGTCCTCTCTGAAGCAGCCATACTGTCTTTTATGATAAGTTCTTGCTACATCCTTTTGCCAGCTATCAAATGAACAGAGTTATTTTTTAAACTGATTGTTACATGTTTTTTGACTATTATGATTACTTGATGAGCCAGCAACTAGGTCCCATTAATTCCACCTACACTGCCTTCTGTTCTCTCTATTCTAATTGGCTTGAGACTCCAAGAAATGCTGGATGCTTCTCCAAGATATCTTTAAATCTTTTCTTATGTAGCTCATTTGCTATTGATTAAATTGGATTTCAGCTGAAAGAGGAAGTCTACATATTTCTGTTTCAAAACATAGAAATGTTAAGGGACTTCAGGATTATGCATTGACTTAAACTTTTCTGGAAATTTTGAGGTAAAAATTTTACCTGAGACCACAAACAGAACAGTCTATTATTGGTGATTTAATAAGATTGCACAGCTTCTAGCATGGAAATAGACCCTATAATCTTAAATACCATAACTTGGTATCTAACATGGTAAGCAAAATACCATATTGGAATTGTGCATTACTTATGCAAAATCATTAAGAGTTGGATTATTGAAGAGAAGTGAGGTATAAATATCTTTCATTCGATTATCCAAAAACCACTTTGCATTTTGTATTTCATCCATTTTTGGGTAGCATTCTGTGAAACACCTTTTCCACTTCCTTTTCTTATGGCCTGCTTACCTCCTTCTTCCCATCCCTTGCCTTCTCCTGTTTCCTCTCTGCTCCATTTTCATCCCCCTCATCTCCTACAACTTAGTCACTTGCCATTTTTTCCTCCTCTTCAGAGATATAACAAGTATAGGGAGAGAAGCAGAATGACAAATCAGTCAGTCTTGGTTGATAATTTAGCTTTAATAAAAAACTGCTGTAGTAAAATATTGAAACCAATGGCTAAGATTTTAAATTATCTGTGAATTTTGCCTGTTTGTGCAATACCATAAATAAATTGAGCTTCAATTATAATTACAATATCACATTCTGATTTCCTAAAAATGTGTATCTTTCACTGAATAGATTTCACTGAATAATATTGAATAGTATTAAATCTAAAGTTTTAACTGTATTGGAGTATTGCTTGGAGTGAGGATGTCTCTGGTGTCTCTGGATGTAATTTCAATGATGATAATTATTTTAAAATCTTGTATAGATCAACTTCCAACTGTTAATGTTGGTTGATTTGAATTTACCTTTTTCTACTTCTGAGAACCCAAAATGTACAGCTTCAAATGAAAATGCAAGACCATTGAAATTCATATTATGGGCCTCCTGTTAACTTTCTACTGTTGGAGTTAGCAAGAATAATCCCAAAGGTTAGATTTGAATCAGTATACCATAAGCTATCCAAATAGACAGGCAATAGAGATAAAGGAAGTAGGTCTGCTGCTTCAAAAACCACACTCGCATGTAGCACCATTCTATATGAATATGACCATTCTCAAGGGCTTTGGAAACCTCTGGTCCTTCACTAGCCCACAGCAATGCAATTAATTAGATATCTTTGGGTTTTCATTAGAACTCTCTCCCAGGGTATTCCCGCCAGTCATGACCATAAGCAAGCCCTAGAGTCATCTGGAGGTATCAGAGAAAATCTCAGCATGGTGCTTGTTCCCATGAATTTGTATTATGTTGGCTTTTGCTGTGATCTGTCAGTAAGACAACACTGTCACTGATGTGTGGATTGTACAACAGGAATGAAGACAAAATAGCTTTGGGAAATTGTTCTCCCATTGTCTATGCTGAGAAGAGCTGTATAGTGAGAAAATTGCTTGGCAATTTTACTCTCTTGGTAAAATTAATTTGAAATATCATTTAATTGGTAGAATTACCAAAATTAAAGTTTCTTAAAAGGTTACAATGACTTTGTGATGAATTCTTGCTGTTTTTTTAATTGAGTCCATTTTTGTCTGATTGTTCTTCTGGGTACTACAGCCAGACAGAAGAAGACAACTATGCACGTATTTTAGAAATGGACAGAGTAGGTGATTTAGGTAGTATCTGATTTGGAAAATAAGGTTGGCTAAGATGACCTCAAAGGCTGTTATCTGATACCAGGATGACTTAAATCTATATGCTAACTTTAGCTGTGATAAAGGTGTGTTGTCTTAAGAATTTCCCATGGTAGTCTGGCATTCATTGACAAATTTCAAACAGCAGTCTTTTAAAAAACTTCTGAAGGAAAACAAACTTACACAGCAGAGACTAGTAGGATAGTAATCTCTGTTTAGCCACTGTTCATCTTGAATAATTATTAACTCAAAGCTGATCTTATTTCATGTGTACCACTATGCACTTTCTCCTTCCCCAAGCATTATTTTAAGCATATATCAGGCATTATAGCTTTTTATTTATAAATAATTTATCTCTCTAAATGATAAAGAATCCAAAAAAATACAGTGCCATTTCTTATATAAAAATCAACATTTCCTTACCATCCTCATATGTTTCATCAGTTTACAGATTTCTCTAGTCATCTCAATAATATATTTTAACAGTTTAAATCAGGATTGGAATAAGGTCCATACATCATAATTTATGGATACATTTCCTATATTTCTCTTAACTGTATTCCTTCTCCTCCTCCTCCTCCTCTTCCTTCTCCACTACCTCCTCCTTTTTCTTCTTTTTTCCTTCTCTCTCTCTCTCTCTCTCTCAACAACTCTACTCATTTGTTTCACATCATTTTTCACAATTCACATTTTCTAATTGTACCTCCATGGTATTCTTCTACATTGGTGTTTCTGTTAGATTTGATTGCATTCAGGTCTGATATTTTTGCCAAGACCATTAGGTGGCACTTCTTTCAGGAGGAATATTAACTAGTTTTCTCTCTTTTTATGTTAGAAACTATTAATGATCATTGTCTAGACACAAGAATTTATTAAGGTTGCAAAATGGTGGTATTTAATTATATCTTTTTTCATGTATTGAATATACTTCATAAGAGAAACTTGCCTCCATTAACCATATGGTCACCAAAAGATAAAAGTCAGTGCCAGTCTTTTCTCTTTACTTACTGGTTTTGATACAGTCATTCCCTAGCATCCTGATTGTTAATATCTATATATTTACTTACAGACTTAAACATATTCGAAGCATGATATCTCAATTCATTAACATTAAACCCTCGTGCTCAGATTGTCTCATTGTTCTACTTTGGCCTGTGGGAAACTCTTCCAATTGGCTTTGTATCCGCTTGATGTACCTTAATAGTCTTGGATAGCTTCTTTGTTTTCTGGTATTGCAGGATGTTTCAGGCTCTTCTTGTTCATAGCTACATGCATACTTGGAAACAAACATTTCTCTAAAGAACTTTGATTCCTTTTAAGTAGTTCATATGGCATAATTCTGTACAAGTACTCATTATTGTTGAGTTGATCTTTATTTCTTGACCCTAACATTGCACAGAGAAAGAATATAAATAGTATATGCTGTGTATATTGCTTAAGTATAAAATTATTACAAGTTCAAACTGAAATTTTCAATTAAAATCAGGGAGCATCACTAGGTTTTCATTTTACCTCACCAGTCTTGCATCTGTTTCTTCTTTCTTCCATGCTGACAATCACAGGCACCAGAGACACCAGTGTAATAATTCATCTGCTTTACCCTGCAACATACACACAAAGCAATCTTAGAGTAATATCTCCACAAGCTTTATGTTTAGTACAAGTATATTAAGATTACTCTCCATCAAAGAATATGTTTTATGTGATTATACATTGATACAGGTCTAAACTCACTAAGTGGGTTTTTATTACATCACTAAAAATGTTTCTAGTATTTTTCTCTTAAGTCACTAGGAGGAAGTCAAGTGGTAACATTGGCATGAGTGAGTAGGGAAGAAGAGGTGTTTATTTAATTTTACTTTTGTTTGGTTTGACTGCACTTACTAAAACTTGCCAGAAAGTATTCATTTTCATCATCAAGTTTTTAATGGAGAGATCAAATCCCTATTATTATGTGTAACTGGTGGTTAAAGTAAGTCACGACAGAAAAATTATTAGATGGAGTTCCTCAAAGAAAACATTTCTTCCCAGCTTGCTTCTTCAAGCCATCAAAGTCATTTGTAAAAAAATAACCTTCCTACTTATGGTAGTCATCTTTTCATTTGTCCAGTGGTTTCATTTTTGTCTTATGGTAGGCATCTTTTCATTTTTTCAGTGGTTTCATTTTTGTCTTAAGGTAGCCCTCACTGCAGAAGCATGAAGCAGTAGAAGAAATGTGTTTTCTACTGAGCTTATTAGATCTAAACCAACTTACAGATATCTTGAAATATTTTCCAACCAAATGAAATTTAAATTGTTTTATTAGCTACTACCTAAAATTATTTGGCTTATCAATTAGAAAGGGTAATCTTGTAAGGAAGACAGACAGGTTAGAAAGAGAAGGTGCTTGCCTTTTCTTTATCTTCTGGGACCCAGTTTTCTTTGGAATTCTAGGTCCTTTGGGCAGTAGTCACCTTTATAGTTTTGCTTACTAACATACTTCTAGAAAACCAGAATTATGAATTCTGTAGAACTTTCATTTCTTCCAGAACCTTTTAAATTAAAAATTCTATATTCAAAGCAATCTGACCAGAATGGATTGTTTCTTCCCTTTTTGAATGATTGGTATGCAAATATAATATTAGCCTGATGACATTTGTGCATTTGCATTCATACATCTTAAGACTGAAACCCCTAGGGGTGCTGTTGGGCATACCGTGGCACATGGCATCACATTCAGCATTGAAGAATGGGATTATGTGCCACATGTACAGATGCAAAAAGATTGTTAACTTTTCTGGAGAAGCACTGAGAGCCAATAGTCTGCTTACCTGTTGGCAGGTGGGTAATTGCAGCTTGCGTACCACTTCAGAAATATGTTGGCAAATGTAGGCACATTATTTAATTGACTAGTAATTGAGAAAGAGCACAGCTAATTCTAGGCAGATAAAGGACTCTGAGATGCCCTAAATAGGTCTTAATTAGCTGGCACCA